GGGGAGGCAGGGCACAGACAGAACTCCAAATTCTGAAAAATAACTTTTATATGTGTGTGCTGGTCTTGAGGCTTGAACTCAGAGCCTGGGTGTTATCCTCTACTTTATTGCTCAATGCTGAAATTCTCTACCATTTGAGCCACACTAACACTTCCAGCTTACTGGTGGTTACTTAGAGATAAGAATCTTATTGATTTTCCTGCCCAGGATGGCTTCGAACTGCAATCCTCAGATCTTAGCCTCTTCAGTAGCTAGGATTATAGATGTAAGTCACCATTGTCATACCGCAAAATAACTCTTTTACCCTTCCAATTTTTAGCCAGGACCCACATCTTAGTCATTTATATGTGTATAAATTACTATTTGAAACTTGATCAAAGCTCTTTTGTATTTATTATCCGATTGGATTAGATAACCACAAGTCCCTCAAGGAGAATGCTCACTGTTTTGCATGAGGGAAGAGAAGTCTGGAGAACTCCAAGATCCCAGTGGCTGAGTTGGTAGCAGAGTTAAGATTGGAGTCCACATCATCATACACAGATTCTCTGACTCCTCTACACCATGCCTCCTCCACCCCCAGTCAGGAGTTCCTGAGTTCCCAGCACAGGATCTTGGATGCCAAAAGTAGCTTTACTGTTTACAGCCCGGACAACTGGTACTGCTACTTAGATTTTGGCTCCCTTACACTGGCAGAAGACCTTTAGCCTGTTTTGCTTGAAAGGCACTCACACCCATGTTCCCTTCCCTAACCACATACTCCATTCAATTGCACTGAGTTGGAAACCAGTCAAATGACCAACAAGAGGAAAATGGTCAAATAAACTCATAAGGCAATAGAATGGAACACTTGGGCAACTCAGAAAATGACAAAATATGTAAACTATCTCTGAAGGCAGCAGCAATGTGTGTGTGTTTTAATATTGTAATCTGAACGAAAAAGAACATGAAATGACAAGTACCTATTGATCTGGGGTATGTAAAATAAGCTTCTGCCAGTCAACAAGCCAGAAGTGAACTGCAAAGATGAAAAGAGATTTTTTTTTTCTCTGTATAAGGTTTTCTTTTCTACAATGTTCAAAATTATAATAAAAGATGAGGGGCCATAGAGGGACGAGTGCTTCCCTGCTGGAATTTCAGGAAGGAAAACGCAGAGGTTGGGAATGAATGCTGGAAACTACAGAAAGGAAGGGTGCTTCCCCAAAGGACCCTGGGCCCACTAGTAGACGATCAATCTGTTATATGGATGCCGGAGTGTTCTTTACATCAATTACCATGTCAGTGTGTGGCTGAAAGGAAGACAGGAGATCAGAAGGGGGTTGTCCATTCTGGAGAGCTGGAGGTAAGGCCACTGTTCCGGTCAGCTGCTTCCATATCGCTACTGTCACCCAATATCGTTGCAATTTTTCTCTACCTACAGTAAGACCTGGCTTGCAGGAAGTAAAAGACCTCCAGGCGAGTATAGTCTTTCTCTGGTGGAGTGCCAAGCTAGCAGGAAGATGGGTGTGAAAATGCAAACTAGGCTCTCCTGAGAAGCTGGGATGGTGCCCTCCACAGACACACCAAATTCAGCATGTCTCAAACTGATCCTGTGTTTCAGCACAAAGACCTGCTTCTCCCCCACATGCTCCCCAATACGGTGGACATCACTGCTATGGGGTGGCAGAGCTTTACAGGATCTAGCTTTAGTTCAGCCCTCATTTGCACTGTGTCGTATGCCTAAAGACCCTTCCCCTGATACGCCAACTTAATTGCCTGTGGCTTCAGCTTGGAATCTCTTCTCTACTTCATCAACTGCTTCTCTGTCAAGCCAGTGCATGTGTCATCTCTCTCCATAAGATGTTTTGTTTTTCCAGATCATCTCCTCAGCCCACAGCACCTGGCCCCAGGTAGAGGTTGGTGCTTGTCTGAATAGTCTCTTGAGTCCACGCCAGTCCCTGGCCTGTCTTCTGCACTGAATATAGTCACTTAGAATTTACCAGTGGCTGTATGTGAAAATGACGTTGCTGAATAGCTTCATCATTGTGTACACACTACAGAATGTACCCACACTGACCTAAGGGGTACAGCGCTGTAAACACTGGTACTATAGAATATAACATTGCATCTAGGCTACAAACAGCACATTACTGGGCTGAATACTATAGGCAACTGTAGCACAATGCTAAGTATTTGTGCCCTTAAATATACCAAAACAGGTGTGTTTACAGTAATACCAGCATAAAAATGAGAGAAATATGTGGCTCTATGACATGACCATGCCTGGGCTGCTGTGTAACAAAGTGAGAGAAATGTTTTGTTCACTGTAATTTTATGGAACCATTGTTGCATATAATCAGTCTGTTGTTAACCGAAACATCATAATACAATACATGGCAGTATATATTTTATGAATATAAGAATGAACAAATATATAGAATAAATATTTATTAGCATGTGGAACCCCAGTGCCACATTTCTGGTGACAGCAATTCCCAATTCTCCTCTATATTTAGGCCACTCTTGTCTAGCACAAGGTCCCCTCCAGTCTCCAGGCCTTTGGGAGACATCACGCACAACAGGAGGCACTCTCCTGCTCTTTTCAAACACTGGCCCCTGGGTGGCGCTCTTGTCTGCATGTGGATTGTACTGTTCGGAGATGTGAGTTGCTACAAGAGGGGCTTTCAGAGCAGAGAGGTAAGGCTAAGATAAGTCATTTCTTAGCATCCATGTACGGTGATCTCCTCAGATGAGCCATGGGATACTATCTTGGGACTGGGCAAGAAGGGGAAAGGATGCAGTGCTTCTCATGTATGTTATGTTCTCATACTCCCTGGCTGGGTGAACATTTTGATTTCTAGCCCATACATGGTAGGAATGGCAGACATAATGTCCTCCACAGTAGCTGGTGTCCATGAATGCCTAGCCCTGGTCTGATCTGAACCACAGAAGCCTATTTGTCTCTAGCACAGCAACTGCTGTTCTCCTGCCTTATGAACACATTCAGTCTCCATGGTCAGTTTATCTACCTCCTAACAGTCTGTCTGAGCACTCAGGTAAATGCTTAAGTCGAGTCTGGCCTCCTTCTTAGCCTAAACTACTAAACAAAGCTCTGTCCCTTCTAGAGACAACCCTATCGTCAACAGCCTCAGAGCAGCAGCAGCACCACCACCATAACACTGAAACTAGAGTGATCCTAGCCCTAGCTATGACCTAGCATGGGGGTAAGAGGTAGAGACAAAGCACTTGGGAAATGGAATATTGTGTGTGACAGAGAAGAGAGAGAAAGAGAGAGAATGCAGGTACTGGGGCTTGAACTCAAGGCTTGGGCATTGTCTCTTAGCTTTTTTTGCTCAAGGTTGGTGCTCTACCACTTGAGCCTCAACTATGCTTCTAGCCTTTTTTTTTTTACTGGTTAACTGGAGATAGGAGTCTCAAGGGCTTTACTGCACAGGCTGGCTTCAAATCATGATCCTAAGATCTCAGATTCTTAAGAAGCTAGAAAGACAGGCATGAGCCACTAGCATCCACTGTGAAAGGAAAATTTTAAAACTCAAATCCAGCTGGGTTCTAGGCCAGCTTAAATTGCATAGTAATACCCTGTCTCAAAAACAAGAGTTGAGCTTGGAGAGAAATTTAGGAAAAAGGCATTTAAGAAGAGTTGAATTTCTCAGCACAGTACAGCAGAATGCCGTTTCTTCTAGTCAACTAAGGAGGGAAGAGAAGGCTGAAAGGAAGGGAAGGGAGTAACAGGATGAAGCTTGATGGACGATGGCTGGGGAGTTTTGGGTGGTGTTGTGACCACTGAGAAATCATTACTATCATTTGGTGAGATAGGCAAAACAACTTTCCAGAACATTTCAGAAATGTGATTTTAAATAATTGTGATGTAATCTCTCCCCTGTGACCCACAAACCTTCATAAAAAGTTCTGCTACATGTGACAGCCTCATTTGGGGGGTCACTTTGGAATAGGAGTGGGAGTTGGAAGGTGGAAGGAGCTGAAGTGATAACTAAAACTAAAGAAAACACCAAAAAAAAAAAAAAAAACAGAATAGTGAACAAAATTCCAGACAAGGCAAAAAACCAGAGCCAGAGGTGACCATGCAAATCTGTGTAATTCACAGAAATCCTGGGGAGGGCATTGGACTTTCCACAGGACATGAGAATTCAAGCCAATGTCATTTGAATCTCAAAGGACAAGTTACCCCAGCTGACACTAGGTTACAAACCAAGCTTTGCCTCTCCGGCCTTGCAAAACAGAAAATGTGTCATGTGCACCTTTGCCATCCGGAGACTTAACACATAGTAGGGCCCAGGAAGTGTGTCTTGTGAATACTCAGGGTGCCCTCAGAGAGCTGGCAGAAGCTAGGGTCTAGGAAACCTGGAGTTTCTGGTTGGGGCTTCTCCTTCTGTCTCTGGCTCTCCACCCTCGGATCCCAATGATCGCTCACATTAGAGCTATGGCCTAAAGGTCTTGTAAACAGCAAACCCCAAGAGGAGATGGAGAGTGGAGGTCACACAGGGCTGTGCAGAAACCAGACTACTTTGAGTTTGTCCCACTCCTATGAAGTCAAAGAGGCAAAAGGGAAAGGACTTCTGCTCCAGGACAGAGGCAGAGTGGGCTGTTTATTCATAGGAACGGCTGCAAGATGCGTCGTACCTTAAGCTCTGAACTCTGCACCTAAGCATCACTTATGCCCCCCTGAGGCCTTGTTGGGAACCCCATAATACAAGGGCCCTCAGTACCAGTGCATCCTTAGGCGAATCATGCGCGGCTCACAGTGCTGATGGCGCCACCTGGCGGAACAAGAGGGCACGACTCGCCCGAGGAATCGCCTCGTCAGCGAGCCGGGGAAGGAGGAGGGGCGACTTGTAGGGGCCAGCCTATCGCGGTGACGTCATGATCGAGCGCCGTTTCTTCCCACCTCCTCCTTCCCTCCTCCCCTGCGCGTCTGGAAGCTGCCAGTACTTGACGTGGCGTCACCGCCCTCTACCCTTACTTTGCGTGCGTGTTTGCGTGTAGCGGAGGTGGCTGCGCGGGCAGGTCGGAGCTGCGCGCTGCCGCTTCTGGTGCTTCTGTCCCCGCCGTCGCTGTCCGGCGGACTCCGGCTGCGGCGCCGACGAGGCGTGGGTCGGAACGCTTCCGAAGCCCGCAGGCAGCGCCGCTCGGGGCCTGGCGGGAGGGTGGGTGAGCGCGTGTGGTGGGACGCCGCGTGGACGATCGGGCGTCCGCGAGGGACCGAGGCGGGGGCGGTGGGTCAGCTGCGGGCCGGGCCGGCCAGGGGATGTCGATGCCTGACGCGATGCCGCTGCCCGGGGTCGGGGAGGAGCTGAAACAGGCCAAGGAGATCGAGGACGCCGAGAAGTACTCTTTCATGGCCACCGTCACCAAGGCGCCCAAGAAGGTGCGGGGGGCTCCGGGGGACGGGGTGCGGGGGGAAGCGGGGGAGGCCTGGCCTTGGCCTCGCGGAAGGGGCGCGAGCAAGCCCAGGCTCGGGTAGTTCGGAGTGTGTCGGGGCTTGGGGTTTGGGGGCGGTCAGGGACGACTGAGACGATGCCGGGGAGGGGGGGGGGGTGACGAGTGAGCGGCCCCAGGCCTATCCCCGGCCGAAGAGATCGCTCCTGACCTCGCTTTTCTTTGTCCCTCGGCCCGAGCCCTCCGGGATCTTTTTTTTTTTTTTTTTTTTTGAATGCCGACCGAGCGCCAGGCCTTAAATTTGTGGCTGACTTCCTGGGAGAAGGATCTTGAACAGATCGGAGCGGGCCGGGGTGAAACCAACTCAGCTGACCTCTGTGACCTGCCCGGGGTGGGGGGAGGGATGTGGGTGTTACAGAAAATCTCCCCTCAGGTCAACGGGGGAATCTGGCAGAGGTTCCTGGGGCAAATCTTTGGGAGCTGTGTGACCGTTTACCCAACTGCGTGATAGCCTAGAGGCAAGAGAAAAGAATGCGTGGAACTGCCTCCTTTATGCAGGTGAAGGCCATGAGAATAATGAGCTGGAAACACAAACCGATTTTTCACCCCCTGTGGTCTTCCACTTGCTTCGACTGTAATGATGGGACTATTTGGAGGGCTGGTGACAGCCGACACTGTCAAGGATGCAGTTGATCCTAGAGTCATGTGAATAGAAAACTTAAGACATCCCTCCAGAAAGGAGCTTGGGTGGGTTGGAGAGGTGGGTGGTGGTAAGGAACGATTGCTCATTCTTCACTGCATTTACTGAAGCGGAACAAGTTGAGTCTATTATACTGTGGGTTGAGCTCAAAGGACATTCTTGTACTTTTGTTGGAAATGGCAACCTAGGCAGGTTTTAGTGTAACTGACTGGAGTGATGGAATTGGGATCCCTAGGGCTTTCTCGTTTCTTCTTGACTTTCCACTTACCTGGCACCCTCACAGTTGATCAGAGAACCCTTGTGAAGTCAATGAGAACTGGGAGAAATGCTTCTTTAATGTAGAAAGACGTGGCTTGATAGCTGTCGATGCCTGCCTGCCATGTGTGGTGGGATACAGGGCTTGTACAAAACAAAACAAGGTTTGCAAGAATAATAGTATTTGTGTGTGCACGCACATGCTGGTGCTGGAGCTGGGGCTTGAACTCAGGGCCTGGGTACTAGGGTTTTTTTTTCCGCTCAAGGCTGGTGCTCTACCACTTAAGCCACAGGTCTACTTCCTGTAATCCTAGCTACTCAGGTGGCTGAGATCTGAGGATCACGGTTCAAAGCCAGCGCCGGCAGAAAAATCAGTGAGACTCTTACCTCCAATTAATGACCAGAAAATGGGAAGTGACACTGTTGCTCAAAGTGGTAGAGTGCTAGACTTGAGCAAAAGAGCTCAGGTCAGGGACAGAGCCTAAGCCTCGAGTTCAGGCCCCATGACCTAAACCACACCCCCCCTCTCCCAAAAAAAGATTATGAATGATCCCTAAGGAGTCTGATTAACCTTACTTTAGTGCTCCCAATTCAGCTGACTGCTTTGTTGAGGTGACCCTTTGTAGTCTGTACTATTCTTTGAAAAGCAGTTTTAGTCCTTATAAGCAAATACTTAATTCTACTCAAGTGAGGGGAAAGAATGGAAAAAACCTGATAGCCTAATCCTCCCTCAACTTTTCATCTTCCCACCTGTGCCTCCTCTTTTGTCTAGTTGCTTTGAGTATTAGACATCTTGTTTCTTGCCTTTATTTTAGTAAGCCTGGATTCTTGCAAGTACCGGTACTGATGAGCCAGTCTGTATTGTAGATTGCAAACTCCCAGTAAGGCAGAGACTTGTTTACAATTGCCGTTATGCCAAGCTTATAGTAAATAGCCAAAGTTTATTGCCCACCTGGCTAACCAGCAACTGAAATGTCAAATGGCTGCCCACCAGGAATAAATTTCTTTTTGCCTTTCTTCTTCCCAGGAGGAGTATTGCTAATGTGTATTATTGTGAGGCCAAGTGTTAATTTTTTAGAGACTCATATTCCATTAGGTAGAAGAAGAAATCTCTGCAAAGAATGTGGGAAGACCCTGTTGTAAGTTTCCATTTGCTAGTAAATGTGTCCCCCTTGTTATTAATCTTGTTTCTAAGCTTTATTGTGTTGCATTTACATAGCTCTTGGACTAAAGTTGGATCATGACTAATTGCCCTTCCCCTAGTGATGATAAAAGGCATTTATTTAGTTAATGGACCAGTTGAGGACTAGTCAAGGTCACATAGCAGGTCCTAGGTAGGAAGGGAAAAGGAGGGGCTGGTGGGGGAGGGATTGGCATAGTATTGAGTGACGTGAGAAAAAAACCTCTTGAAATGATGTAGTCCTTCCCTCACGAGGATACTATCTTGGCTCTAGACCAAGAAATCTTTGGATCATTTCCATCCCTATGGCCCCTTAGGAATTGAGATGTAACTGGTGCCAGAGGATATAGGTTACTTCAGGGTGACTTTAATGGTCCTTAGTCCAGATCCTAATGTACCTTCTGGTCAGCTTTTATTTTGTGTATTTACTTTGTTTAAAGTAGACTGAACTGCCCATCAATTAAGAAGTGAACAAAGCTGGGCACCAGTGGCTCACACCTGTAATCCTAGCTACTCAAGAGGCTGAAATCTAAGGATCATGGTTCAAAGTCAGCCCTGGCAGGAAAGTCCATGAGACTCATCTCTTAATTAACCACCAGAAAATCTGAAGTGGTGCTGTGGCTCAAGGTGATAGAGCACTGTCCTTGAGCAAAAATTGCTCAGAGACAGCGTCCAGGCTCTGAGTTCAAGCCCCCTATGGCCAGCCCCACCCACCCCCGTTAAAAAAAAAAAAGTGAACAAAATTGGTACCCTCTTAATTCAGTAGCTTCTGAGCCTCAGTTTCCTTATCTGCCAAATAAGTGTCTGTTGGGAGCAGGTGGAGATAAGAACATGTTGGGAGTTAAAATAGCAAATGCAATAAATCTATTTTCTTTTTAGTGGGCATTTGAGGTAGCTTTTAAGAAAATATAAACATGATAGAGTTAGGAAGACAAAACTATAGAAGTAAAGGTGAAGATATTAACACTGAGGGTTAAGATAATGATAAGGTTGAAGATTATGGGCAGTTCTAAAGATCCTTGCAGCCAGAGGAAATGAATCACAGAGGTATAGTCTCCTTAGCAGACATGAGAAATAAAATACCAGTTTCTCAGGAAGACAGCTTGTCCTGACAGAATTATAAAGGAAAAAAATTTGGACCACATTTGCTACACTTTGTTTCACATGGTAAGGTTTGGTCACAATTTACAGTGATTACAGATGCAACGGCTCAGGAAAGGAGTCCTTGAGGTTGTGCCTCAGCTAAAGATCCCTGTTTCATGTTGACAGTGAAGCCAATAAGTTACCTAGTTAGCCATAGTTCCTGGATATTTATATCTCTCTCTGCTATTGCAGAGATGATAATTGTCCTTGGACCCTCAGAAATTGTGTCAAGTTGATTCTATTTTCATAGAATAACTCAAATCTCTTGTTGAAACCCCCTGTGGTAAACATATTTTTCTAGAAAACTTAGAACATTAGCTGTTCTCTGAACTTCTAATCATTTTGGGGGAGACTTCTGCTGAGTGACACAGTAGGCATTTGACCTAGGATCTGTGCGGTCATATCTTTACCACTAGCAAAATGTAGGAAAGTAGAATACCGAAGCAACTTCACTTACAAGGTATTCTTTATTTCAAAGAGTGAACAAATGCAGCAGTGGCACTCACTAGACACAGTGTTGAAAATGAACTACACAACTTGTGTGTAGGGATGGGAAGGAAAAACGGAGCTAGAGCGAGGGAAGGAATGAGATTGTCCAAAAGGGCCTGCGTGCTGTCCCTCAGCTCTTCAACTCAAGGCTAGCACTCTACCACTTGAGCCACAGCACCACTTCTGTTTTCTGAGTGGTTTAATGGAGATAAGAGTCTCACAGACTTTCCTGTCTGGGCTGGCTTTGAACTGCGATCCTCAGATCTCAGCTTCCTAAGTAGCTAGGATTACAGGCATGAGCCACCAGCACCAGGCTAAGAAATATATTTTTTACCTGGACTTATGTAACTATGTTCCCTCTATACATCACCTTTATAAAATAACAATTTAAAATATACTTTATTTGAATAAAGACTATGTAGTACTAATTTTTCAAAAGGATTGGGAGGCACATCAAGCGTGGCCCAGTGAGTACTACTTAGGTGTTAACTTGACAGCTGAAGTCCAAGGATATGCCTTCTCTCTTCAGAATTAGGGTGAATTCTTGATGCAGTTTGTAGAATTTATATGAGTCCTCCTTAGAATCACTGAGAAGAAGTTAGATTGGTTGCTTTTCTTCTCTCTACATCATTAGTATCTCCTGATTTTCTTTAGAGCAGCTGCTGTCCTCCCCTTCCTCTCCCCGCCCCCCCCCCCCCCCCCCCCCCCCCCCCCCCCCCCGCTTCCTTCTTTCTTTGTGGTACTGGTGCTCAGACACTGGGCTTCAAACATGCTAGGTAAGTGCTTTATCTCTGCCCTACATCCCCAGCCCAGAAGATTTCTCTACAGACTTTCTTGTCTTTTTCTTGTTTGGTTTGATTTAATTCATTCAAGTATTAAGTCTATTTGTTGGCTGGATGTTTTCCTAGTAAGATTATAAATAGGCATCCTCTGTCTTATCAGAGGATATCATTTGGAGCCAGTGTGTTACCCAGTAGGGGTGTGTGTGTGTGTGTGTGTGTGTGTGTGTATTTGTGTGTTGAAACTGAGTCTTTTTTAATATTTTTTAATTGTAAAAATACCGTACAGAGGGGTTACAGTTACATGAGTAAGGTAATGAGTATATTTCCTATCGAATGTTATCTCCTCCTTTGTTTTTCCCCTACCATTCCTTCCCTCCCCACCTCCCGGACTTTTCCCTCCCCTCCCCCCCAAAGTTGTAACGTTTATTTCCAACATAGTG